CATATATGATCTTTAGTAGTGTTAAAATCGACACTTTAAGTGTTAAATTGACACTGCGTTTTTTATTGTGTAGGTTTTAGTGAAATGGCTCTAAATTGGTTCAATAATTATTTATCAGAAATAACTCAGTGTGTCTCAGTTGAAAATGTGTTTTTCAAATGAACAAAAAATGACAAAAGGTGTTCCACAGGGTTCTGTTTTAGCACCAGTTTTATTTTCTATTTATATTAATGACCTTGGTCGTTGGATAATCTCAGCTAGAATTCATTTATATGCTGATGACACAATTATTTACACAGTAGCACATTCGGTGAATCAAGCCATAGAGCTCTTGCAAGAATCTTTTCAGTTACTGCAACTGTCATTGTCCAACTTAAAATTGGTTTTAAACTCAAAGAAAACAAAAGACATGCTTTTCACTCGTTGTCACACTGAAGCAGACTACCCTATTTCAACTTTACAAGGAGAATCTTTTCAAAGAGTAAGTTGTTATAAATACTTGGGCATATGGTTAGATTACAAATTGGGATTTTATGTACATATTGAAAAACTTTTTAAAAAGCTTAGACTAAGATTGGGTTTTCTTTTTCGCTTAAAGAAATGTTTTCCTTTTGAAGCGAGAAAGAGAATTATACAAAGTTGTTTCCTCTCAGTGTTAGATTATGGTGATGTGATTTATATGCATGCAAGTTTATCTTCACTTAAAAAGTTGGACTATGTATACCATGCTGCTTTACGTTTTGTGACGAGTGCTTAGAGAATTATAGAAAGTTGTTTCCTCTCAGTGTTAGATTATGGTGATGTGATTTATATGCATGCAAGTTTATCTTCACTTAAAAAGTTGGACTATGTATACCATGCTGCTTTACGTTTTGTGACGAGTGCTTCTTCACGCACTCATCATTGTATATTGTATGAATTGGTGGGATGGTCCTCTTTGTTTCAAAAGAAGGAAAGTGGACATGCTGTTGTTTATCGCTAAGGCACTGTTAAGTAAATTACCAATTTATATCTGCAGTCTTTTATCCTTTTAGGCATGTAATTACAGCACTAGGTCTTCTGCTAAATTACTTTTAATTGTTCCAAGAGTATATTCAGAGCTTGGAAAAACTGCCTTCTCTTTTTTTGCTCCCTCATTATGGAACGAGTTGCAGAGTGTTATTATGCTGAAAACACTCCCCTCTTTAAATTTTTTAAAAAACCTTTTATGGTCTACTTTAAAGGAAACATGTACTTGCTATGAGTAAATGCTTGTTGGTTTTTTATTTTTTGTCACATATTTGTAATCAGCTGAATGTAGGGCAAAATTTTGTTTGTTTTATGTGTTTGTAATTGTTTTATTGTGAAACTTTTTGTGCTGCCATTTTGGCCAGGACTCCCTGGAAGAAGAGATTTGCATCTCAATGGGACTATCCTGGTAAAATAAAGGATAAATAAAA